GTCTATGTTACTTTTGAGCTCTCTCTTCAGTTACAGGATCCCCTTTAATATTTCTTGCAGGGATGTTTTAGTGATCACAAATTCTTTTAGTTTCTGTTTGTCCTGTAATCTCGTTATATCTCCTTCTATTCTCAATGACAGCCTTGCTGGATAAAGTATTCTTGGCTGCATATTTTTCTCATTCATCACCTTGAATATATCATGCTAGTCCTTTGGCCTGCCAGGTCTCTGTGGACATGTCTGCTGCTACCCTTATGTTTCTACCCTTGTAGGTTAAGGACCTCTTGTCCTGAGCTGCTTTCAGGATTTTCTCTTTATCTCTGAAACTTGCCAGCTTCATTATTCTATGTGGAGTTGATAACCTATTTTTATTGATTTGAAGGGAGTTCTCTGTGCCTCCAGGACTTGAAGACCAGTTTCCTTCCCCCAGATTAGGAAGTTCTCAGCTATAATTTGTTCAAATAAACCTTCTGCCCCCCTCTCTCTCTTTCCTCTTCCTCTGAGACTCCAATTATTCTAATATTGTTTTGCTTTATGTTTCACTGATCTCTCAAATCCTCCCTTTGTGATCTAATAATTGTTTATCTCTCTTTTTCTCAGCTTCCTTATTCTCCATCATTTTGTCTTCTATATCATTAACTCTCTCTTCTGCCTCATTTATCTTAGAAGTTAGAGGCTCCATTTTTTATTGCATCTCAGTAATAGCCATTTTGATTTTGGTCTGATTAAATTTTAGTTATTTTATTTCTCCAGTAAGGGATTCTCTAGTGTCTTCTATACTTTTTTTCAAGCCCAGCTACCATCTTTATAATTTTTTTGAATTCTAGTTCTGACATCTTACTAATATCCATATTAATTAAATCCCTGTCAGTGAGTACTGCCTCTTATTCTTTTTTGGGGTGAGTTTTTCCCATCTCATCATTATGTCCAAAAAACAATAGATGAAAGAGAGAGAAAATGCAAAACTAGCACTGCAATATATGCACTAAGGAAATCAGAATAGAACAGAAACCAAAAAAAAAAAAAAAAAAAAAAAGGAGAGAGAGAAGGAAATAATCAAACAAGGAGGAGAACAGAACACAAAGTAAACTAGATCCTGGGTGTATTTTGGGCAGTTTGTTTGAGGAAACTATGTCCCAAAATAGGAAAGAAAGAAAAACTTTAATATATACAAAAATAAAATTGAATACAATGAAAGGAACCAAAAATGAAAAAAAATATATAATGTAAATATAAAAATTAAAATTAAAAAAAACAAGATGGGAATTGATAAAATAAGAAAATAGCTAAAAAGGAAAAAATATCAAACTGAAAGACTATAGAATAAGAAAAAATGATGAATGTTATATACTGTTACCTTAGAGCTTAAGTTTTGCAGTTCTGTATGATTAGTAAACTTGGTATTAGCCTCTTGTTTTTGCTGGTCTTCTGGGGGAGGGCCCTGTTGCACTGATTCTCAGGTGTCTGCCTGGGTGAAATGCACCGCCCTTGCCAGGGGGCTAGGCTCAGGGCAAATGGCTCTGGATTGCACTATATGGTGCTGTATTGCTACCTGAAGGCTTTCAGCACCAATGGCGGGGGGGGATAAAAATGGTGGCACCCAAATCCCTAGCCCCAGAGCTGAAAGTTCGCAACCCCCCACCCCCACTCTTCAGTGAGCCCTCACAGAAAAGCAATCACGCTTGTCTCCCTGGTTTCCATCTGAACTCTATGTTCACCCACCCTGTGACCAAGCATTTTTTATCTCAGGCATGCAACCCTGTTTCAATCTCCAAATTTTATGGATCCTGTGGTGTAGACCCTCACCCTTCCGCAGGGTAGGAAAGAGGGAGGTTCTCACTGGGTTTCTGCCCTTTGCTCAGTCCCTGCTTGGAGAGTGGTCACCCAACCAAGCAGCAGTTTGTGGTTTATGGTAACACTGAGTAGAAAGCCAGCTCCAAAACTTACTGTTTGCAGCAGGCTTCCCTGCTCTGATATTTGGGAACTCTGTCACACTCAGGCACCCCCATTCTTTTTGTGGCCCTGGGGATCCTGAGACCATGCTGTCCTGCCTGGGGTTCTGCCCTGCTTCACTACCTGAGCCTTTCAGGTAGGATGTCTCCCACCCACGCAGACTTCAAAAGTTCCAATTTTGTGCTTCCGCTGCTTAAATACTTTCTGGTAGCCTCCTTAAGCTAGACCCTCCCCCCCGGCAGTTTATCTTCTGATATATCTCCCCAGATTCATATCTCTGCACCTCTTACCTTGCAAAAGGTTGGCTTTTCTATTTGTAGAATTTCAGCAATTCTTCTAAGATCTCCAGTTAACTTTGAAAGTATTCAGAATGATTTGATAACTATCAAGCTGAATTCCAAGGACCAGATAAAATTAGAGTCCCCTATTCCTCTGCCATATTAACTCCTCCTTTTTCTCCCAAAGATTTCTTAAATGAGATGATACCTATATAAAGATACCAAGATGGCAGCTGTATAACACAGACTGATCAACGTAATACCTTTGACTACATTAAAGTGAAAAGCTTCTCTTCATGAAAATAAATGCAAAAAGAAAGTATAAAAATCACAAATCTGGAGAAGATTTTTGCATAAATGTAGTCAACTAATGATCAATGGAAAGAAAGTATTTTAAAAATTCCAGAAGTCACTAAGAAAAACTGAAACAATCCAGTATGAAGGTGGGCAAAAGACATGAACAAAATGTTCACAGAAAAAGAAACATGCATGGGAAGAAAATAGAGAAATTACCACAAATTAATTAGTAATGAGACAAATTTATCTCTGTGCACTATGAGATGACATTGTTAATTAGTTCAATTGTAAAATTTAAAAAGTTAGACAAATTCAGATGTTGGTGAGAATGTACATTGATAGAATCTCTGAAACATGGTTGCTGGGAATGCAAATGAATACAATCCCTTTGAAAAAAATAGTATTGCTGAATCATAAAATTGCACATTCATGTGCCTCAGGACTCAGCATTTCCACTCATAACACTATACTTAAGAGTCACTATGCAAATATGTGCAGGAGACATGTGACATGTGCTCCTAACAGCAGTCTTCATAACTGTGAAAAAAGAGAGGATAGGCATTGACAGAGAACAGATAAATAAGTTCAGTTACACAGTGTTGAAAGGATTGAACCACAGGTATATGGAGAGTAATTAATCTTTTGGTATAATGTTGACATTAAATATTAATTTATGGAGCCTTCTGAATGCTGAGTGTTGATGGAAGTGCTCCAGGACACTAGTCACTCGTGACACTTCTGAACCCCAGGGATGAAGAGTTCCTACAATTTTCCATGGAGACAACTGGGTGGCCATCCAAGGAATGTGAATAGAATTGGCATTGGGCTTTTTACTGGCAACATGGCATGCTTGAAGAAGATAGATCTTCAGAGTTCTAAGAGAACATGATGTTGTATCCAGAATCTGATACTCAGTTAAACTATTTATTGAAAGTGATCACAAAATAAAGGCATTAATTTGAAATGCAAATACTCAGAAAGTTTACCACACAGAGAACTTTTTTCTCACTTTGTTTGAGAATGGATGCAATATAAATGAACAGGGAAAAGGGAATCCAAGAAGCACCAGCACCACTAAGGTAATGGATGGATGTGAGTGAGGCCTGTGCTCCAGGCTGAGAGAGCAACTAGTCCAAGTGAGATTGGGAATTAGAGATGTTGCACAAGACACCTTCATGGAGAACCCTAGCCTGCTCTTCCTCAGGGGAGTGCTCACATTCTACTGTCATTTACTCTCCCTCTCACTACTTAGCATGGCTCTATCTAGCTTTCTCTTCTTAAATATAGAGCCTCAAACTGCTTAACTCTCTGTGGCCTGAGGCTGGATGGAATGACCTGTGAATGTTGGCGGAGACTGGTCCTTCAGTAGACAGCAGGGAAGGACATGACCAGGGGCCAATGAGGGAAGGGGTGTGATTGAAGAGGGTGCAGCTCCTTCATGCTGGGTCCATGCAGGAGTGACTATCACAGAAGGAGGAGGTCACTCACAACTGCCAGTTCTGTAAGGAGCTTCTTGATGGTATTATCTGTTATCTGTTGCTGTGGATCAAATTACCCTGAAACTTAGTGGCTTAAAACAAGTGTTTATTTGTTTATAGTTTCTGAGGGTCAGAAATCCAGGAACAGTCTCAGTTGTGTGGTTCTGGATAAGGGAGAGACCTGAGGTGGCAGTCAAGCTACCAGCTGGGCTGCATCTTCTGAAGTCTTGCTGGAGCTGGAGGATTTGCTCCCGAGATGAGGTACTTATATTCCTGGCAGTTAATGCAGGCTGCCTCTGTTCTCCTCCACATAACCTCTGATTCTTCAGGACCTCTCCAGCAGGTTAGTTTAAAATTTCTGTGGTTAGTAGGCAGAGAGAGGAAAAGGGAGAGGGAGATGGAGAGAGGGAGGGAGACAGAACTGGAGCAGAAGCAAGACAGAGCCAGTGAACAGAGCGTTTATAAGACAGAGCTGCACTTTTCATAACAAAGTTCTGGAATTTTTGGACATTCCATTATTGCTGCCACATTCTATTAGTCACTCCAGGGAAAGGGATTAAACATAGCCATGAAAATAGAAGAAAATTTTGGAGGCCATCTTAAAGTGTCTACCACTGACCTATGGGCAGGTCAAGATTGTGTGAGTCCACAGAGTGTGAGATGAGAAGTGAAAGAACATGGGCATCAGAAAAATGATGTTCAAGTTAAGTGATAAGGGGATGTCAGAATGAGATTGTATGTCACAGTGAGCAGATCTTTTCTTCCACCTTTGGATACAGGCTCATTTAATAAATGACAAAAGTAGAACATATTTGGGAACTTCCTGACATGGGTTCAAAATGGGCAAGTCATCTCATATACCTCAAGGAACTTAGAATCAATGAAAGTGGAAGTAATTGAGCTTGATTGAAAATTCAGAAAGGGGACAGTGTGAGGAGAGAAGCCCAGATGTCCTAACTTCCCTCCAGAAGGAGCCTGCTGAAACACCACCTCTTCAGATGATGGAGTCTGTCAGGATTTTCTTCAGGATGGCTTTGGTGTCCTTGGAAACTATTTCAAGGAGGCGTCTGTGTTTCCACTTTCTCAGGGAGTTGAAAATAAAGTCACCTAACAGTGGGATGTAGCTCAGAATTGAATATAAGCGAGAGACTGTATTACAATTCATGAAAGATAATGGCCAGTCCCCTCTGAGGACAGTGTATAGATCCCAAGACTTCATAATGGCCCTGTACTCCTCTGTGGGTTTCCCCATACTCTGAGCCATCTGCTGGAGAGATTCATCATCTATACCAAAGAGCAAGTGGTAGGCTGTCAGACTCTCCCCCAGATCATCTGCATCCTGGATGCCAAGGGTGTCGAAAGACTTTGAGGATATTTTCTCCCTGCAAGTGGTCACTTCATCATTAATGGCCTTCTCATAAGTGTGGGACAGATTCTCTAGGGGACCATGGTACCTGATGTCAGAAATGTCCCTATGCAAGGTACCCCTAAGCTCTGGGAAGCCATGCAATAAGGGGTCAAAGCTGGAGACCAGGAATATTTTGGGTTCACACACTCCCTCCTTTTGGAGAGTTTCCCGGATATTATCCCGAATATTCTTCAGGAGTCGTTCCTCCAAGAGGGCACTTGTGCTGAGGTCCCTGTCCAGCTTGGTCCAGACGATATAGAATCGCTTTCCCAAGCCCTGGATGGTTTTAGCAAGCTTCACAAGAGTCATGCTGAACTGTTCAGATGCAATGATGATGAAGAGGTCATACTGGCTAAACTGCATCTCCTCCAGATAGTTCTCCAGGCTTTGGGTAGCTGCCCCTGTTCCGGGTAGGTCCCACAACACCACGTTGGGAAAATGGGGGTAAAAGTAGTGAGTGGGAATCTGAGTGGTCCTCACCACCCCAGTGGGAGCTGAGTCGTTTTCCTCATGCCCAATTCCCCGCAATGCATTGATGAAGGAGGACATGCCATTGCCAGAATCTCCAGTCACTGCAATGCTCACTGGGGCACTGGATGCTGTCTTCAAGGTCCCCCTGATCACAGAGATCATCTCCAGCAACTTCCTTCCTCCCAAGGCCTTTTCCATATTTACTGCAGTCTCCTTAGGTAATATATTCCAGCCCGTCTTGTACAGCCTATCAGAGGTGGAGAATGTAAGTAATGGGGGGTGAAGAGAGTGGGTGGGCTGTGTCACATCACTGAGCAGTGGAGTGACCTGCAGAAACAGGAAAAGCAGGGGAGTTAGGAGGACCAGGCACACAGAGTGGCAGAGGAATCATCAGATTTGATAACCGAAACTGAGGGTGTCAGATCCACACCCAATTCCCTGCAAAGGCCCTAGATGACAAACAGCAAGCCTTTGCAAAAATATTTGAAAATTTCTCAAAAATTTAAACATACACAACCATAGAAAATAGGATCCTACCATTTGTAACAACATGTATGGACCTTGAAAGCATTATGCTAAAATAAATCAGACAGACAAACACTGCATGATCTAACTGATGTGTGGAATCTAAAATTAAAATAAAATAAACTCATAGAAAAAGAGAACAGACTTGTGAAGAGGTGGAGGGTGAGAGGAGGGGGAATTGGAGGAAGTGTTCAAAGGTACAAGATTTCAGTTATAAGTAAGTACTAGGGATGTAATGTAAAACCTGATGACTATAGATAACCCTGCTGTATGATTTTTAGGAAAGTTGTCAAGTTCTCATCACAAAATTTTTTCTCTTTTTTTCTTCTTTCTTCTCCTTTTATTGAGATGATGGATTTTAGCTGAACCTACTATGGTAATTACTTCACAATATATATAAGTCAAATCATCATGCTGTAGGCCTTAAACTCATACAGTGATGTATGCCAATTATTTTTCAATAAAACTAATAAAATAATTTAAACAGAGTCACCAAATGACCCAGCAGTTACATTCCTAGGTGTATACCTAAGAGGGATGAAAGCATACATCTACATAACATGCATGTAAATGTTCACAGCAGCATTATTACAGTAGCCCCTCAGGTGGAATTAACAGTTGTTCTGTTCAACACTGTTCAATGGGTAAATAAAAGTAGTCTATCCATACAAGACATCAGTATTGGGGAAGAAAAAAAATGAAGTACTGATACCTGCCACAACATGGATGAACCCCAAAACATTATGCTCAGTGAAAGCAGACAGCCCATCGGACCATGTATTCTATGATTCTATTCATATGAAATGTCCAGAAAAGGCATCTTTTAGATAATGAAAGATATTTTTTGGATAATGAAAATGTTCTAAATTTGATTATGACAGTGTACAACTTTGTGAATATATTCAAAGCTACTGAAAACTTTAAAGGGAGGAATCATAGAATGTATAAATTATATCCCAATAAAGTTGTTGATTCAAGAAAAGCAGCAGAGGTGCTCATTTAGGAGATGTGCACATGTTAGAGGCTCAGAGGAGACTGCTGAGAAATGCTCTGCAGCTGTGGTGCTAGTATTCAGCTCCTAAGCAGGTTATAGATGGAGGGGACTTGAGCAGAAAAGCATCATGAGGGTCACTCAGTCAGGAGCCAGGCAGGTATGGGTACTCCTCTGCCCAGACTGGGTGAGCAAGTTGTTGTACTGGGGATGTCCACAGGGCAGAAGCAAACTTGTGCCAACTTTTCATACCTTTCAATCCTGAGGACCGATACATCCTCAATACATATGTCTTCAGAGTCAAAAACAATTTAATCATTTTTAACAGCAGTGAAAAGTGCATTTCCCCCATTTTCCATATCTTTCACCACTAACAGCATACCTAAGAAATCCCTGTCCCTCATCCACTTCAACATTTAAATTACACAAGCTTTCCAAATAATATTCTACTGATTTTTAAGTCAGTACTTACATTTGTACTTGATTGTTTATCTTTGTTATGATTATTATTATAAATATTTAAGTTCTCCCATGAACTTTCTCTTGTAAGCTGAGCCCTGCAGTAAGATTGCAAGCATTTTATAAGGCAGAATTGGAGAAGAGAACTGGTTAGGATTACCTAGTGGACTCTCCTCCTGGGGGCTATACACATAGTGCTGCCTGGTGGACTTTCACAGTCCCACAAGTTATGACTGCTTGCTGTGGTAATTTCCCTTAAGACATTTACTATCTCTGTGTGCACAAATACAAATTTTAAAACATTTTCTAATTCAAGACTGACTCTTTGCTGAGGAGTTTTCCTGTGAGGCCACGAGGCCTTCTACTGCATGAGGGCTTCCCTCCCAGACCCATCTATGGGCATCTCCTGATGCTGCTGGAGATGAGACCTCATATCCAAATGCTCAGATTTCTGCTCAAAAGGACTGCAGTCCTGTCTGTAGGACAAATTTCATGTTGAGCTGTAGGTCCTATGGTGCAGCTTGTAACCTACCACACCGGCTTTCCTCTCCACTTGTGTGTCCTGTTTGCATGACTGCCCTCCAGACTTCTCTGCGTGCTTTCTTCCAGCATTAGGCCAGGACAGACCCTTCCAATAAGGAAATTGCCAAGAGCCCTGACTGAGTTTTCAGACAAGCCTAGTAATGTAAATGTTTTCACGTTGAAAGCTGACAGACCTGTACCTCTGAAACAAATAATAAATTATATGGTAACAAAAAAAAAAAAAGAAAAAGAAGATAGCAGGAGGGGAAGAATGAAGGGGGGTAAATCAGAGGGGGAGACAAACCATGAGAGACTATGGACTCTGAGAAACAAACTGAGGGTTCTAGAGGGGAGAGGGGTGGGAGGATGGGTTAGCCTGGTGATGGGTATTAAAGAGGGCACATTCTGCATGGAGCACTGGGTGTTATATGCAAACTAATGATGTAATGTATGGTGATTAACATAACATAATAAAAAAAGAAAGAAAAGAAAGAAAAGAAAGAAAGAAAAAAAAGAAAGAAAGAAAGAAAGAAAGAAAGAAAGAAAGAAAGAAAGAAAGAAAGAAAGAAAGAAAGAAAACTGAGCCCCAGTGTTCTGTCTTGTGCAGCAGGGAAGCCATGCTACCCACCTCACAGGACTCCCGTGAGGGTTTCATGCTAAGATCCAAGTGAAGATCTGGGGAGGTCTCCCAGCAACTTCTTGGTGAATTCTGTCTGGTCTTAGGATCTCTGAGGAAGACTTTTCTCTGGTTCTTCTTATTCCCTCCAACTCTTACTGCAGTGTATGAAGATTCTGATCTGTGAGTCTGTCTGGGCAGGATCTTCTGCATGCCTTTTCTTGATTAATCTTCTCCAAGCTCTATTAGACAAGCATTAATATTATTCCTGGTCACAGATCAAGAAACAGTGTCTCACAGATGAGAAACAAGCCTCAAATTGCACAGCAATGATCTGGGATCCAAGATTTAAACCCACAGTGTGATTCTCTGTTTCTGTCTAGACAGGAGGGGTGGACAATCCTAGTAAATCCTGAATCTCCAGCCCCAGGGCCTAGGGATGGCTTGATGCTGAGATTCTGAGATATGGGTCCACTTACTGCTGTCAACTACCATTTACCTCTCCCTGGATGCACCCTTACTGTTTGGGGAGAGAATGGAAATCACAGTTCTGTCTCAGCTCCCATCCTCACTACACATTAAAGAAAACTCACTGATTTCCAAGTGTGAAGGGAAATCTCACAATGTGTCCCCACTTCTCAGAAAATGTTGCAGGGAACCTAACCCCTATTGGGAGAAAGAGATGCCTAATGAAATGATCAGGAGATGCTTGGAGTTCAGAGGGAGGGAAGCTGATGTATTATGATGTGATCACCAACTCCTCTGCTGGGGCCTGTGCCCACAAAGTTTTCAGCGTCCTCCATCAGGAGAGATGCAACAGGTCAGCAAAGATGGTGCCTCTTCCTGCAGGGAGTAGAGGGGCCCTGAGCTCAGTGAGGGGGTGAATGACATGGTGCTGGGCAGAGCACACATGGCTAAAGCTGACTAGAAGTCAGAAAGATAGAGCTCTGGGCTGTCTCAGGCTGAAAGAACATTCTGGAATAAGAATACCTAAGAGTAGCCTCCCTTGCCCTTGTACTCAAAGCCTTCTTTAAGACCTCTCTTGACTATTACCCAGAATAGCCTAGATGCTTGTTTATGGGGGACATAAAGGTTCCTGGAGACCTGAACCGCCATCATAGCTCCAGGGAGACAATCTTCTGGATGAGTTCCAGGCTCACTGACTCGGTTGTGTGAAGGGGTTTCTTCTGTCCCTGAGCATGCTATGTATTTTGCTTGCTTATAAGTTGCCCCTAGTATGGGATGGGGAAGGCCGGATGTCCTTATCAGTGGTCCTGTGGGACCCACGCTAGCCAGAACACAGGAACTGGGCTATAGCCCTTGAATCCTTTTCCTGGTTTGTCTAAATCCCATCACAACCTTCACATGTACCCATCTCACCTTGACTTCCTATGTGCTAGATCAATTGAAAACAACCCTGTCTCTTCAAAAAGTGAAAGTCCCAGAAAGTATTGGGTCATCCCATGTTAGATGCTTGGTATCATAAAAACACACATACAGGTCTTGTCACTCTCAGTAAATAATTGCCTAGGCTCTGCCTGGTGCCCTTAGTGCCCAGCAGGTATGGACACATTTCTGTTAGATGAATGAAACACAATATACCATTGCATATCCTCTACTTACTGGTTGACAGATAAATTAACTTTGCTTCTTAAATCTGTCATCTGAAATGCTGAAGCCAGCTCCTCCATAGTCCATTGGAAAGCAAGCAGGGGCTGGGGCAGAGTATGACCCCACCCCCATCCCAAGGTGGGTGTTGGAGGTGAGCACAAACCTACACTTTTCCAGACCATTTCTGTGACTAAGTCTGACCCAACCATGGACTTTTCACATATCTGCTCACCTGAGCCCCTGTACTGGACCCTTTTGAAGGGGGTGACTGAGGCCATGCAGCACCAGCCACAGGTCCCTATCCCCCACTACCTACCCATGTGGTCCCTGCCCTGCACCTCGTGCTAGACAACCCTGAACATGGGACCCTCTCAGGATCCTTTTAGGCAGTACTATGCCCATGTGTCACTGCCATCACAGGATGGGACAAGGGTAACTTCATGAGAAGTTGCAGGTTATTCCAGGAGCTGTCAGTACCCATGTGTCTGCAGGACATTGAGGCTCAGATTACTAGCCCAGAAGTTGAGAAGAAGCAATCAGAGACAAGCCTAGATACAAGTGGCTCCCCAAAGCTTCCTTCTTGTAGATCCTACTCATGTTAAACTTCTGATCTTTCCTCTCTGAACAGAGTTTGAGGGTCCCTGAGTAAAGAGACATAGGCCTTTATGGAGGGAACCCAGGAAGCAGATTCAACTAGACAGGGCAGTTGTGCTTATAAGGAGAACCAGACCCTGTAAGCAGATCTTTCAGTCTTCTGAATGAGAGCAGCAGTGAGAGATGCATTTCACATAGGAACTAAGTACACACATGCATGCACACATATGCATATACCTGAAGAAAGATTTTACCAACAGTTTGCCTACCCTTTATTTTAACCTACTCTATTTTATTGCACTGGGTAATTTTTTTGAACTCTTGTTATGCATTACCAGATAGATTTCATGACCTAAGAAGCAGAAAGGAAAACACTCATTAGTGGACTTCCCATACAGGATCCTATATAGTTCATACCATGCCCAATTATCTTGAGCCATGAAGTGGAGACCAGCTTTGGACCAGGCTAGAATCTAAGGCATCAAGGGCTTTTGTAGTTTGAACCCAGTGTGGACCAAGCCCCACATTTCCCCCATTTTATCATCATAGAGAAAGGATGAGGGAAAAAATCAACATATTGATTTATTCTAGGAAAATATAATAAACATCTGCATCATCAATGGTCATGAAGCACAAAAGGACCTGGTCTGGGAAAGAGTATTTCAAGAGTCCACCTCACTGAGGTAAAGAATGGAGTTGGTGTCCAGCAACAGTGATAGTTTTTCCAAAGCAGATACACCTGTGCATTGTTATACATTGTCTAAGGCCTGTTAGACACCTTGTCCCTGAAACCCCACCCCTAGTCCCTAATCCACAGAAGGTCAAGCAGGTGTTCCAGATAGACTCTCCCAACTCCAGGCTACCCCAGAAACTGTCATTGCCTTACATCCTATTTAGATTCTGAGAGAATATGAATGGCAAATCTTGCTGTCCTTTTCCAACCCTAATGCTATGAACATGGGGGTGATAGGCCCATTGCCTCCATGCTGGAGGGCTGGATGGGTCTGGAGCAGCCAAAGAGTTTGAGTGTTGTTTTGTCCCTGAAGAATGTCAGAGAGGGTCTTAATTGTGACTACTCACTGAAAAGGATAAGCCAGTCTCCTGCTCTGGTGTCAGGCTCCACCTTTCATGTCTTCACCATAGCAGGGTTATTAGCCAAGTTGGGTTTTAGGGGCTCTCTCACTTACTTGCTCCAGGAAGCAGAGGGTGACTATGATCAGGCAGATATCAGTGGTCTTCCTGGAAGTTACCCCTCCCTGGGGAAGTGTCCAGCCCTTAAGCAGGTTCTTTTGGGACCATCCAAAACTCGTTCCATGCCCAGGATGCTCTATAAGGAAAGAAGGGAATTGTGTTGGGTTGGGTGTCCTAGGAAGAGCCTAAAGAAGACAGAAAAGGAGTTAGGAAGGTGAAATTGCAGGGTTTTCTGCTCCAGTGCCTTTCCTGCTCAGAGCTGTGTAATTTCTGGATAAAGGTGGTGGCAGGGCCTCAGCCCAAGAGGAGGGAAATCAGGGAGGGCTGCTTTCACTTCACACCAATTCTCAAAAAGGTGGAGCCCTACCCTTCATTTTCTCCATTCTGAAGGGTAGGGCTCCTACAGCATTTGCCTGAGGCTTGTGCAGGATTAGTTGAGCACTTTCAGTACAGAAGCCCAGGGAAGCATAGGGGTGCTTTGAGACCAGCCCTGATGGATCCTCCCTGAGATTCTTCCTCTGAATCAGCACCCAGACCCACATTCAGCCCCTGTAAGTCTGGCCCTTGGATGGGCACAGACACTGCCCACAAAGTTACTTCTTGGGGCTTCCCAACATGTCTAGCTCACTTTCACCCATGGAGATCAGAGTGCAGAAGCTACATCCACTGTGATGTTCTCTCTTTGACCCCTGCTATGACCTCACCTGAAGTCAATGCACCTGCCCAAACCAGGTAAGGACCTGAGCCCAGCACTACTCACTACTGTCTGGGTGACTTTGGGTAGCTGCTTAACGTCTCAGTGATTGTCATGTCCTCATTCTCATGAAAGAGTAGAAGGAAAAGCAACTCAGGGTGACTGTGGTCACGAGAGGCCCCAGGGAGGGCACTGGGTGACTGCAACAGAGTGATAGAGAAGGTCTGTTTTACAAAGTTTCTGCCGAGATTGCAAATGTCCATAACAATTTATGAAATCCTTCTGTGGCTAAAAGATTGTAAATTTGTCATTGCCAACCTTGATTCCTCTCTTGGGTCAGGAAAGGACAGCTGACAGGTTGTGGAGAGGAAAGGCAAGGATCAGCTTCTTATTGAGACTGTTATAAGGGACATGGCCAACAATGAGGGCTGCACGTGGTCTTCCTGGGTAGAAGGACCTGAGGAGAAAGAGGTGGAGTTGCCCTTCTGTTCCTGACACTACAGAGGAGGTAGAAGCTTAACAGGTCTGGACTATGCCTGCCCCAAGATCCCAATAGGGACATCAGCATGGATCTTCACTGGACCCTCCTCCCTGAGAGACATTCACCACACCAAGCCATCAGCTGGATTGCAAATGTCCTACCTGAGTGAGTCCATTCCTACTCTTGTATTTCTCTTACTCCACACTCCTCCATGTAATGGAGGCAGTGGGAGGAAGAAAGAGAAAAGAAGCTGACTCTTTTCCTATTCCTGCTGCAGGTCTCTCACTCAGTTGGAGAAGGGGCTGAACCAGAGCAGTGGAGATTTCCATTCTTCAAGAATCTGGAGGTTGTATACTACACAGAGTGGACCTCTACTCACTTGAATGGGACCAGGAGAGAGGGAGTTTCTTAAGGCATTCATTACAAAGAATTGATTTCCCTTTTCTGAACCAAGGAAATATAACAATATCCTCATAAATCATACTTCCTGATTTCCTAATGGTGACTTAGGAGCAGCAAGTCTGACTCTGAACCCTGAGGTGGGCCTATTGGGGCATCAGGCCCAGCCCACTGGGTGCTGAGGTCACTGCAGACCAGAGCCAGCCAAACAGAGGAGCAGCCCCAGAGTGATTCTCACACACT